AGAACATGCGTATCCTCAAAGGCCCGGGCTGCCAGAATGTCAACACTACATGAAAACTGGGGAGTGTAAATTTGGATCTTCATGTAGATACCATCATCCACCAGAATTCAGTGAGACAAAGACAAATTTTCTGCTTAGTCCGATGGGTCTTCCTCTACGCCCGGTAAAGCATCTCAATATGCAGTCTGATCAATAAATGCAACTACTAATACTGATCAACTACTACATACTCTAGTCCTATGTACATTTGCTTTTATCTTTGTTGAATTCTCTAATGATTGATTTTGCTTCTAACTTTTCATTGTTTTAAGGGTGCACCGATATGCTCTCACTATGCTCAAAATGGGATATGTAAATTCGGTCCTTCCTGCAAGTTTGACCATCCGATGGGAGCGCTTAGTTATAGTCCATCTGCATCTTCGCTTGCTGATATGCCTGTTGCACCATACCCGGTTGGATCTTCAATTGGAACTCTGGCTCCATCATCGTCATCTTCAGACTTGAGGCCGGAACTTATTTCGGGATCCGGGAGCGAGGCATTCTCTACCCAGACGTCTTCCATGAGCACTTCAAGTGGTGCGGTTGGTTCGATATTTTCGAACACTGGTCCTGCTTCCCACTCGGGCGTTCAACCGTCCGGGCAGAGTTCGAGTGGAAGTGGTAGCACAGGCCACGGAGGTGAGGTTCACTCATCGAGCTAAAACGATTGAGTGATTTTCGTTTTTTCGTTGCTCAATGACCATGAAGTAGCGTTAAATTTTTGGTGCTAGTCAATCATTTCTAGGAAGCTTCTTCTCTTGGTCATCATAGTTCACACGTAGTAGCTCTGTTCTTCATCTGTGTGTTCATAAAATCATTATATCTGGCAAATTTTCCATATCGAATAAGTGGAAGTTCTAGAAGATCCATCCATCAACCCGCAATATAGTCCTCCCTCTCTGTAGCTAGCTTTTGAATAACAACACCCGCCTTCCATTTAGGAGAATTTGCTTCCATTCCAAAATTTTGGACCTTGTTGTGCCTTCCTGCCTATTTATGTTGTAGTCTTTGTTCGGAACAAGAAACAAACGATTGTTCCTACACCATTGCCCTTTTGAAAATTGACTCTCTTCCCGTCTATCTAGTCCTTTTTGAAATCGGGACTCGGGAGCAAGCTTCCATCTTGACATTCTACTTAATTTTAAAGTCTCCTTGTTCGTTCCCCCTTTTTGGCTGGGGCATTGTTGTGGCAGATGAAAACTGCGAGGCAATTAAATGCCGCCGTTTATGGATAAGATCCATACTTATGTTGTGTATGTATGTGAATTTCTTTGGCAACTTGATAAATGTTATCACGGTATACAACAGATTTATCGAAAACCTTGAACTTTGTAATAAATGCTTCTTGTTTTCTCCCGCTTATCGTTATATGCTTCTCATGATTATTGCTTTATGGTGCTGTGAACGTTGATCGTTGAGTTAGGAAAGGTCAATGCTTCTCTAAGATTTTGTTTACTTTTCCCGTTATAGCATATAGTTGATGCAAAAGAATTTGCCAATTTGCTTATGTTTTTTCCAACATGTTTGATCATCCTTAAGTTTAGTGGTTGTTTTGGCTTAGGAATAGTGTTTGGTTCATTTTTTTGGGGTTACATTTCTGAAGATTTTGTTCCTTCTAAATTCTTAGATAATGGGAAATTTTAAGAATGTAAAATTACTTTAAAATGTTCTTTGTTACATTGGGGCTGTCTTTTCTATTTTTTGTATTCCGAAATTGATTCTTTTTGTGTAGGTAATAGGAAATACTGGTAAATTACAAGTTTTTGGTAGCCATAATCTGTTCTTTAATATTTTCTCTATATTATTTTATTTGTTTTATTAAAGGGGAGTGTTGGGTTTGGTTCTCGGAATTATTCTGCCATGGAATGGTATTTTTATAAGTATGTATTTATTTTCTTTTTCTAATTTTTCTTATTTTTAGGAATATTATTTTTAGGGCAAAAATTTGTGTGAGAGCGTCTCACGTATTCGTATCCGTGTCCATGACACAAGTCGGGTCAATATGAAAGTGTAATATTAATAATAAATAAAGTGTTTGTTAGTAAGGAAAATTGTAATATTTTAAAGAAATATGTAATACTTTTACATTTTGATTTAAAAATATTACATTTTTTTCCTTATATGTAGTAAATGTTTTATTTCTGATTAGTATTACGTTTTTCAATATACGTATTATATTTTTATATTACTTGTTGCACGAATAAGGATTTGTGACCGTGTCACAGAAAAGTCACTCTATTTTCAGGGATAAGCCCTTGGTATTTTAGAATTTACATCATTTTTTGAGTTTATAGAAATAACTTTTCGTTAACAATTAAATTTTTCTTATTTAATTATAACTTAAGAAGTATTTTAAGGTGCTGACTGCACTTGGTATCATAATGCATTTTATACATTATTGTACCAAGTATTATTGGAAATCATTACTAATAGGCAAAATCTCATATGAAACCATTTCATGGATATTTATTTGTGAGAAGTGTTGAGTTTTTCATAAGTATTATAGTGTTTCTCATAAGTAACATTTCAATCCTTAAATATTATATTTTGATTTAAAAGTATTATAGTTTTATTCAAAAGTATTATATTTTTTCTTATAAAAATTTGTCAAATAGGTCACTGAACTTTCACACATTGTGTAATTGAACTATTGAACAAAAAAAAAAGTGTAATTGGACCATTAAAAACACAAAAATTGTGCAAATATTATTTTTTACTGGTTACTTTCAAGTTTCCTTTAAATATGATGTGATAATGTTAAATTATATATACAAAATTATTTTAATTATTATTTTTTAAAATTAAAAGAAAAAAAACAATTAAAAAATAAAGAAATAATAGCATTGAAATGTAACAGTTAACAACAAAGATTAGTGGTTAACAACTGAAAATTTTTTGGATTGTTATTCAGTTGTTAACAACTGAAATTTTTTTGGATTGTTATTCCTTCCTCAAAAAAGAAATAATAGCATTGAAATAATAACTGTTAAATTTCAATGCTATTATTTCTTTTTAAAAAATTGTTTTTTCTTTAATTTTTAAAAATAATAATTAAAATAATTTTTTATTTTATATATAATAATTTGACATTATGACATCATATTTAAGAAAAATTTGAAAATGCTATAATAGTTAAGGACTATAAGCGAAATTTTGCTCAAAAATAAATTAAAATTTTAACAAGTCATCATTTATCCGTGCAAATTTAGATTTATGTAGTGAAAACCTACATGAAAAACAATGAGAATTGCATAAATTTTCAAAGTTGAGGTGTTTAATTAAACTTTTCTTTTAATTCGAAACGGTTAGTTGTATACTATAGAAACTATATAATATTTTTGCCAATAAATAAATATTTATAATGGATATTTAAATTCTCCCGGATTTTCCGAGAGTAGAATAAACTAGTGGACAAGCTGGCAAAAAATTGACACAAAAGGTGATATGGGTATTTTTGTATTTTTATTTATTATTATTTCATTTCTATTTTTGTACTGAATAGAAATTTTGAAGTTTTTATTCTTTTAACAAATGAGATACTGGAATTGAATGAAACATATATGCCGTAAGGGGGAGGTTAAAAATTGAAAGAAAATATAATAAAATATATTTTTTTTTATTGTTCTCGTTTAAAAAGTGGGTGTCACATCTAATTGGCATTAAAAATTGGGACGGAGGTGGTATGTTGTTTATATTAAATTATTAAATAAAAATAGTAGTAGATCGAGCTAGTGATGTTGACAAAGAAATCTTGGAGCTACGTCATCTTTATCGTACGTTGAATTGGTCCTGCCCAAAACCAATGCTTGAGAGCTCCTGGGATTGTGTCTCCCTGTTTAATGTAATCACACTAATCTATATATGCTTTCAATTCTCATTTTATTTTAAACCTCATAATAACATTTAAAATGGAATGAAAATTTTTGTCACTTTTTTTTTTTTTAATAACATAATAAATTTCTTGAGTTTGTTAGACTATATCACGGACTAAACCTATTTCTAGTTTCTCGTAAAGAGATAAATTAAGCCAGAAACGAGGTTAATCCAAATAAATACAAAGTTGATCGAGCTAGAGGGATTGAAGGAAGCATGATCAAATTATGGCATACTTTATTTTTGTGAAGGTGAAGGAAGAATTATCAAACTATATATGTCATATTTTTCATGAAGGTAATAGAGGCCTATATTTGACTAATTTAGGACCATTTTAAATAAGTTGTTTGAAAGTCTTGAAAATTAACTTCTTTGCAACGGGAGAGATAGGGGCATTTTATTATTATTATTATTATTATTATTATTATTATTATTATTATTATTATTATTATTATTATTAATTTGATCATAATTTCCTTAATTAGGGTATCACTTCGATGGCTCTCCCAAATGGGAGGTCATGGGTTCGATCGTCAGTGGGGCGGTATTGACTCTGCTTCAAGAGTAGTTATGAACATATACTACATCCTAACAGAGTTAATAGTACTAAAAAACATGGTATCACTTCGATTTTGTTTAGTTAGGCTGTCTTTCTTTGATTTGTTTGGTATGGAATGGAATGAAAATACAATATTGTTCACGCGAATTTAACTCATTGGTTCAAGCACTATTTGAGACAAAAGACCAAAACTCAACAACTATTATGTGACAAGAGACCAAAACTCAACAACGATTATGTCCAAAGCAACAATTCCCTTAGCTTGTGTACACTGACATTTGATTTTGTTGAGCTGGGGTTGAGAATTCAACTTTTTGGGGCAAGAAAATACAATAGTGGCCTGGTTGACAATATAATTAAGCAATTAAGTTACATCCCAAAATGAAAGAAATTGAAATGGATTTCCATGCACTAAGCTAATTAACACCAATAATACTAATGATCTCATTAGGATATATAGGAAATGGATACTTGAGATTCTTTCTTCCATGCATATATCAACACTGAAACACCCCTGATCTGATCTATCTTAGAAAAGATTAGAGTAGCCAAAATCAGGCAAAAGAAACGAGAATCTCGGCGACGACGATGAAGCTCCTCCACCCATCATCATCAATCCATCAAAGCTCGACGACGGCGGCGACGATGAACTCCCCATGCATGCATTTCCCACCTCCACTATTGTGCGGTTATTATCGCTGTTATTGGTGGCGGTAATCATCGCCTCCAGCTCCCATGGCTGCTCGTCTTCCCACCAGAATCTCTCGCCAATTATCCCATCATAGCACGACGGCGGGTTTCCGCGTAAATCCGCCGCCGTTTGACTGCTGTCGTCGTTTTCCTTCTCTGTCGGAATAATAATGGCGTTCTTGGTGGTTTCTTGGGAAGGAGGGTTCAAGCAGCTATGCGGCACCACACAATCCAAGTACCCAGAATTCTCTTCGTTATTAGAGAAAAAGAAAGGGTTTTTTTCAGTGTCATTTAGGGATAATAATGGAGAATTTTGAGGTTTGTTAACTGGTGATGAGTCGTTGAAATTAGGGTTTTGCAGGGGAGGAGGAGGAGGAGGAGGAGAATTAGGGAATAATAAGGTTTTGGTGGTGGTGGTGAAGTCGTGAGAGTAGATGAAGTTGGTTCTTGTTTGGGTGCCCTTCATGGAAAGGGCAGCCCTATCATAGGCCAAGGCTGCTTCTTGAGCAGTGTCGAAGGTCCCAAGCCAATGCCTCTCCTTGGTGAGGGGGTCTCGGATTTCGGCGGCGTATCGGCCCCAAGGCCGCCGCCGGACACCCAGGAACCGCCCTGGCTCCGCCGCCGCCTGTCTGCGGCGGCCACGCTTCTCGCTGGGCTGAGACAACAGGGAGGTGTTGCGTTGGAGCCAAGTGTATCCGGTGGGTGTACGGATGGGCTCAAACAGGCTGAATGGATGCTCTGATGATGAAGAAGAAGACATTATTGTAGTAATTAGAAATCAATGCAAAATTATTGAATATATAATAAATATAAATAAATTGGTATAGGATTTTTTTTTTTTTTTTTTTTTTTTTTTTTTTTGGATGGGATTTTGTTGAATGAATGTAGAGGGGAAAAGCAAGAGAGTAAGATGAGAAGTGATGAGAAAGAATGAAGGGTGAGGCATGGATTTTAAAGACTGTGATGAAGAAGGGGAATGGACAGTCAAGTTGTCATTCATTGATAGACTTCCCCTTTTTTCTTCTCCAACCACTTTTAAATATAATCTTTCTTGAAAAGTGAATAATATTTTAGTGCCTTTTTCTATTGCTATATATAGTTTTAACTAAAATAATAATAATAATAATAATAATAATAATAATAATAATAATAATAATAATAATAATAATAATAATAAAACTCTTGGCGGCGTCACTGTGGGGATTATGCTCAGTCGACAAATCCCTTGTGTGCATTGGCATCTGCTGTGACATTGAATCACCGTGATTTACATCCTCCCAAATGCTCTATCGCGTCTAGGTGTGGGCCCATTGGGGTTGGTGATTCAACCTTTTGGGAGAAGTTCTAAGAGCACGGCCATTGGTGGTTATTTTAGAGTTCTTAGTACAATATTCAATGATGACATGGAGGAAAGAAAGTGTATGAGAGAAAAAAATGGGAAGCATATGCAAATGAAGAGATATTTCAGAAAGTGGGACCCACTAAACAAAAAAAATCCCCCCCGCCTAAGTTGTGTGAGGCTCACTACTGCGCCCAGTGAGCGCGTGGCCAGTTGGCGCGCCTGACAATTGTTTTTACATATATATATATATATATATATATATATATATATATATATATATATATATATATTTTTTTTTTTTTTTTTTTTTAAATCAGTTTTTGCTTTATTTTTTTTTTATTTTTTCTCTCATTCTCACATTCTCTTTCCTAATCACACTTACAAAACCTCCTTAAAAATTACAACGAGAATCAACTATTGTGGATTCTCTAAGTAGAAAAGGTTAATTTCGAGGATCGTACTTTTTATCTTTCAATTACTTAGCTTTCAAGTTATCAATCTAGTTTTTTCTTTCAATTTTTCTTTTTACAAATTTAATTATTTAATCATTAACTGATTGTAAATTCAGTCATTCAACTAATTGAGAGACTAAGATTAGTTTGGTCAAAGTCTCCATTGACTCTTCAGGTTTTCAGTGGGGTGCAAATCCTAGACAACGGCAAAAAGGAAGGCTAAACATTGATTGGACAATCACTACTTGAGCTATCTCGGCGGGTATGGTCACAATTTATTCTTTATTTTCTCATAAGATAGACTCTAAATACAAAAGGAACTTTTAATCTCAATTAGTCAAGAGATTGCATTTACAACTCATTTAATAAATATAGGACCAAATTTGTAAAAATTGAAAGAGATACACTAAGTTAACTTGAAACAATTAAAAGTGTGATTTTTCTCTATTATAAAGTTCTAACACATCATAAATTTCATTTTAGTAGTTAATAGGATTTCTCAATATTCTTTAAAAGAAAATAACTAATTTTCAATATAATTGTACTTCTTAGATCAGTACAAACTGTACAATTCCTATTAAAATAAAGTTCCTAGCTAGTTTAGATATCATATTGCAAAAAATTCTTAAATTTCTATAACCACATTTTTTGGGTTTATTAATAAGTAGCCTAGCTTTTTCCGAGCTAAAGTTATTGGTCGAAATGTTTTTTTTACCTTTCTTTTACTGTTTATATTTATTATATAAGTACCAATTAACTCGAATGTAATGATTGCTTGTAATTGAAGAGTTAATTTTAATTTATTTTCCTCAATTATTATTATTATTATTTTTAATTATCAACTTCAAACTCAATAAGAATTGGTCCTTAACTTTTGAAAATTTGTGACTTTTACCTAGTCATGTAAAAAATTTAATGTTAAATTCGCAATGTTGAAAAAATTCGCTAGGCGCCCTCTAGACATCTGGGGACCGCCTAGGGCGCCTAGGAGACCGATCGCCTATCGCTAGGCGCCTAGGCGCGATTTTTGCAACACTGTAAATTCGGCCATCGAGAGGTTAAAAGTATGTGGTAATCTTTCAAAACGTTTTGATACCAAATCTTATTAATTTTGAAGTTGAGTAAAAGCGAAGACTAAAATACACTCTTACTAAGAAAGTTCGATCGAGTTAATTTTTATGTTATTGGGACAACTCTAGCCAAATTGATATTTAATAATCACAAGATTTTAACTTCGACTACTCCTCGTGGAAGATGTCTATTGGCCTACTTGATTTGAATCGGTCAATTATGGACAACCTAGACTGATTTACCTCTTTTACTAACCAAGGTTGCAAGACGGAGTTCACTCCGAGTGCACCTTCGAGTAGCCCGTAACTACTACCTTTCATAAATCAAAGTTAATTTTAGTTGCAATTAAAATAATATACTAAATCTTAATTAAATTGAAATAGACTAATAGCGTTGAAAACTTTATCAATGTTGAAAGAGTGGAACAAAAGTAGTAGGAATTGAAGAACATATATATATAATTAATCGGAAATAGAGAATAAGGACATAGATTTTTGGCTGCATATTTCTAGGAAGTCTCAAACATTTGAATTTGGGTGTAACATTTGTTGATGATATGATAATGTACACACACATGTTTTTTCCGGATTCTATGCAAAATAAATCCACCAAGTATTCTTATCTTGTTGTCTTGTTGTAGATGATTTTTAAGGGAGGGGTTATAGGACAATTACTACTTGCCAAATTGGTTCTTCTTGTGATTATTAAAATTTAGTACAATAATTAGAGGTGGGCTAGTTTTTACTATTCAATAATGTTATTATAAAAGAAACTAGTTAAATATCGCAAATTATGCGATTCAATAAATGAATAATGAAAAATGTAGTAAAATTATAAAGAGATATGACTAATAGAAATAATTAATATATCTAGAACAATAAAAAAAAATACAAAATTGAAAAGATTTTTGAATATATAAGAAAGTGAATATAATGTATAAATTATTACATTTAACAATATTATTTACCATTTAGAGATAGGGGAGACAAGTGTTATTATGGCCCTGTTTGGTAAAAAATTGGCCTATAGACCAATTTTGGCTTATTTGACCAATATTAATTGTTTGATTTAGTTAAAATATCAATATAAATGTTTGGTTAATTAGCTTTTTGCAACTCCAAAAGGCTAAAATTCAAAAAGCTACTCCAAGCAACTTTTTCAATTAGCTTTTTAAGGAAAAAAAATTATACCAAATAGCTATCAGCTAACAGCTAATTTACCAAACACTTTTCTACAATCAGCTAGTGTTATCACCTATTTATACCTCTAATTAACACAATCAGCTAACAACTAACAGCCATTTTACCAAACAGGGCCATAGGCAAAAAACATGAGAAATTTGACTGCGGTTTGGTATAAGTAGACTATGTTTGGTAGAGCTTATTTTAGAGCTTAGTTTATAACTTATTTTAATATGCTTCTGTTTGGTAAAAAACGTGAGAAGTTTAAAATAATAGGTTATTTAGATAGCGTTTCAAAATAAGTTCATGACTTTTTACTCCGTAATTTTTTTTATATCTTTATTAATTTACAAAAATTACATCATCTACCCTTCATTAATCAAAATCCTAATATTTTAGTTTATCCTTTTATGTCTTTTTACACCTATAAGCTAATTCAACAATTAATTTTATCAAACACTTCAATTTTAATTAGTTAGCTTATTAGCTACTAGATTTTCAGTTTTTAGTTTTTAGATAGACGTGTCAAACAAAGTCTAAAAAAATTAATCAAATATCGTGCATTATGTGATTAAATAAATGGCTAATGAGAAAATAAATTAGTAAAATTATAAAGATATATAAACAATAAAAATAATCAGTACATCAAGAACAAAGAAAAAAAATGTTAAATCAAAAATAATTTGTAAATATACAAGAAATAAGCACAATAATGTACAAGTTTTTATAGTTAATTTAACCATGTTACTCTGTATTTAATTAGCACGCGTTAACAACTTAGAGGTTAAAAAAATTGAAGAAAGGTAAAATCATAAAAGTTTGTAAGTATACAAATTAAAATTAGTGAATGCAATGTAGATCGAATTTATTGTTGGGTTAGTTGTACTGTAAATGGAAGGTCGAGTCTAATATTCAGCTATCGAAACATGATATTAACTGTTACATTAGGATAAATAAATAAAGTTGTTGTTAGGAATAATCTATGTATAGATTTTGATGATGTTGACTAATTTATTTTAGAAACTTAGACTCCCCAAGCTTTTTCTTGTAATAACATTTAAGGTTAATTCTTGTATATACCAAAATTAGGACTTAGCAACTTTCTAAGTCTCAGTTTGTTAGTGATCTCACTGGTAGATGTTCAAGGTAGCCTCAAATAGTTGATTGCGTTCATTATCGGTAGACCAATTAGGATTCTTATCATCATTTCACCCTTGTTTCATAAGAACTCATTGGTTCATCCCAGTAGACGAGAGCAGCAAACCTCGTCTCTGGTCAAGATATGTCAACAGTAGACCCCAAATTCATATGTTTAGGTCGTTTAGTAGATGTTTTATCATATGACCTTAGCTAAAAATCTCATAAGTACTTAGGCAGGACTTGATGAATTGTTGCAATAGTTTCAAGGTCCATCGGTAGACGTACGATGTACGATGGATGTTACTTATCCTTTTGTGATAAGAGTTGTTGGGCACACTCTCCAAGGACACCTAACAACAAGATATCATATGACAACAGGCAAACATGTTTTTTCGACCTGCACCAATTAGAAATATTTCTTTCACTCAAAAAGAAATGAATTTTACCCACTGGTCAATGGCATGCGGTGAAAAAGGAGGGAATGATAGCTTTTGGACACCTACCATTTCAGAATGTGCTAACGGGAAGATTTTATAAACCTTCATATTTCCCAAAACCTTAAGCTTTATATAAG